GCCAGGTAACTGGGTATATGTGCGGAGATACCAACACCAGACACTTCAACCTCGCTGGAAGGGACCCTACCTAGTGATCTTGACCACTCCCACCGCTCTCAATGTCGACAGGATTACTCCCTGGGTCCACTACATACATGTCCGGCCAGCTGACCCACACACCATTCTCAAGGACTTTGTTACAGAATGGAAAAACCAACCAGACAAGGACAATCCCCTAAAGCTAAGACTGCGCCGTTCTCACTTATTTCCCACCTCCAAGACTCCCTAGTCTGAGGTTGTCCTTTGAAATAGAATGGGATTAGACTTAGTCTTTTTACAACAGAGGGTGAGGGGGTTATGTGCTGCCTTAAATGTAAACGAGAGCGAGAACAGCAACAAGGTTGGTGAAAATCCTGGTTTAATCATTCCCCTGGCTCACTCTGAGAGCAACCTGGACCCATGATTGGGTCCTGCATAGGATCCTCTGAAAAAGGGGGGAATGTGGGACCCAGGAAATTTAACAAAATCCCCTACCCCTGGAAAAACAGAGCAGGACTGACTCTGTTTTGTGCTGCACCTGCCTTGTGCTGACCTACTTATTACTTAGGGCACTGCCCCGCCCTAGTCAAAGACCAGGGCACACCCTAACCGGAAATCTGGCTCAGTGGACCATCATGACTGTGCAACTTTCTGCGTATCCCATTGGCCACTGGCCCCTATAAAGTTGCTAAGCCTCTTAGTCTCGGGGTCCAAGTCCCTGCTCCGCTGCGTCGGGTATACTTGGACCCAGGCTCAAGCTTGTAATAAACCCTCGTGTGTTTGCATCGGTGTAGGCTCCTTGGTGGTTTTTCGGATTCGTGATCTTGGGCACAACACCTTAAGCTTTCCTCATGGTCTTTGAATTGTTTTTCTCTTTTTCCCTAAGCTTCCTTCCTTGCCAATCAACTTGTCTTCTATACCACTCACTCTTTCTTTTACCTCATTAACCCTCGTCATGGGGGCAAATCACATCTCATAATAGTCGATTTTGTCCCTCAAAAGAGTAGTGGATCTCCAGTTTTGATTGCATCTCATTTAATTGATTTTTAATTTCCACCTGATTAGATCTAAATTCTGCAGTCATGAAGTCTCTTGAATCCTTTATGCTTTTTTCTAGAGCCACCAGTAGGTTTATAATTGTGCTTCTGAATTGGTTTTCTGATATCAAATTGTTATCCAAATTCTGTAGCTCTGTGGCAGAGAGTACTGTTTTTGATTCTTTCTTTTGTGGTGACTTCTTCTTTCTAGTCATTTTGCTCAGTGCAGAGTGGCTAAAAACGAGTTGTATTTGTTAGAAGCAGAAACTCTTCTCTCTGTAGCATTCCAGCTGTTCTTTCTTTAAATGTCAGGTCGAATTCGTATGTTTTCAGGATGATTTGAAAGTTATCTATGAAAAAAAAAGAAAGTTATCTATGGAAGTTGGTGGGGACAGGTGACTTGGGGACTCTACTCCTCTGCCATATGCCCTGCCCCCACCTCTCTTTCTCTTTCTGTCTGTTTCTGTCTCTTGCTCTCTCTCAAATAAGTAAGTAAATAAATAAATAAATAAGTCTTTAAGCAGATGCATAGGTAGCAGCAGCAGCAAAAGCATATTTTTAAAGATTTTATTTATTTATTCATGAAACACACATACACACACAGAGGCAGAGACACAGGCAGAGGAAGAAGCAGGCTCCATGCAGGAAGACTGACGTGGGATTCCATCCTGGGTCTCCAGGATCACGCCCTTGGCTGAAGGCAGCATTAACTGCTGAGCTACCCAGGCTGCCCAGCAAAAGCATTTGGTAGGGTCCTCACAAGCCAAATATTTTTAAGAATGTGAAGTCAGCATGCCACATAACAGCTCTTCGTCCATATAAGCCCCTGCCTGATGGGTATATGTATTGCAGGGCATTATTCTTTCCATTGAGTGCTCTATAGAATTGCAGCCAATGCCCGGTTAAGACACAAAAACCAATGGGTACAAGGCAAGTGACATTGCCTGGGTCTAGCATCTGTTAGGCTTATGTTGGACTGGGTCTAGCATCTGTCAAGCTTATGGTGGACTTGAGACACACAATGCAATCTGGGAAACACAGATATATCCAGAAGGAGACAATGACTTAGGGTCATTTTAAGGAGGACCCCGATCTCATAATTCGACCCCTAAATGCTAACTGTTGAAATTTCCAAATTAGGATAATTAAGTCAACAACAAAGGCTTGGTGGGACTCATCAAATGCAGAGCACAATAACACAGCTAAAACAGTAAGCTTCCAGTAGGCAGCAGCTCAATGGGCATCCTTTCACTGGGTAGCTGAGCCAGTTAGGAAGCTGAGGTTTGATGGTCATCATTGTCTAGACATCTTGCTTAATGTACCAATAGTTGTGCAAACCCACAGAGAGGTAGGTTACACTCCGTCCCCTCAAAATTTGGCTTATGGGATGCCTGGGTGCCTCAGTGGTTGAATGTCTGCCTTTGGCTCAGGGCATTGCCCTGGAATCCCTGGATCGAGTCTCATGTCCGGCTTCCCCCAAGGAGCTTGCTTCTCCTTCTGCCTATGCCTTTGGCTCTCTTTCTATGTCTTTCATGAATAAATAAATAAAATCTTTAAAAAATGGAAACTCAAAATTTGTTTTGCATGTCAAGACAGGAGATAGCACGCATGCTCCAAGAGTGTATTGACGGGTTTATCACACACACACTGAGGCTTTCTGGGATCAGGGCAGAATTTCCAAAATGGGAATTGAAATCTGTCAATAGTCAAACATTACAATGGAGTAAGAAAGGGGAACCTGGGTAGCTCAGTGTTTGAGTCTCTGCCTTCAGTTCAGGTGACCCCAATCCCTGGGGTCCTGGGATTGAATCCCACATTAGGCTCACTGCAGGGATCCTGCCTATCCCTTTGCCTATGTCTCTGCCTTTCTTTCTGTGTTTCTCATGAATAAATAAATAAAATATTTTAAGAAATGGAGTAAGACACTTCATTTCAGATATTTTCTTGACAAACTCTGAAGTGGGAGTGACTAGGGTTACTACACATTACAGATGAGAAAATAAGGCTTAGAGAAGTCAACACAGATGTTGTAAGTATCAACAATGGGATTTGGACACACATTTACTTTTTGTTAGTGACTGTGATATTGACTCATGCAAAGTAAAGTGGGGAACGTATGAACTAACAACAAGCTGATTTCCAAATTAAGGGAGCAGAGTATTCTTATCACGTCTGGATTCTTATAATTTAATGATGAATGCCGCACCAATTAAATGCAGTATATGATTACCTTTTAATTTTCAGGATGTTGCTGCTAGTATATTAACCCTGATTCCAATTGCACATAAAGCTCACCTTTATGTCAGTGCCTCATATTGCATTAATAATAACGTATGTTCTTGCCTGAGGACTCACATGTACCTCTCTTCCACTGGAGATGAAGCAACACTGGAGATGAAGGCTGAAGTTTGGTGTGTCTGTAAGCTATGGGATCTCATAGTCTTGTACCTGACTCGGGGTAATGACTCCCTGGGCACCATCAGTTATCACCAGCATCAGTGTTTTAGGCTGGTGCTTCACCTGCCATACTGGTACCCATCTGGGTCACCGACAGACCTCAGGATTCCCACTCCTCATCACTGGAATTGAGCTCATGCATGGCTTCAAGGGTAGTTTCCTAGCATAATGAGTTGTCCTGGCTAAGGTTCTCAATGGCAGATGTTGGCAGAACTTTCAGAATATTCTCTTGAGTGAACTCGAATAACTGTAGCCAAGGATGTGTCTGTTAGCCATGGTGTGGTGACCAGCTTGAGACCCAGGAGCCCTGTGTCTTTTGATACTGTGAGGATCATGAGCTTTGCCTTACCCAAGACCTCTTCTTTGTAATAGGGTGGAGAGGAATGGGACAGTGTCCTTAGGGAGTGAACTTTGCAGAAATTGAATATACATCCAACTGAGACTGCTTAAATCAGAGTTGACTGGGATGTCTGGGTGGCTCAGTTGGTTGAATGTCCGACGCCTGATTTTGGCTAAGGTCATTATCTCAGGGTCCTGGGATTGAGCCCTGCATCTGGGTCCACACTCAGCAGGGAGTGTGCTAGGGCTTCTCTCTCTCCCTCCCCCTCTGCCCCTCCCCACGCATGTGTTCTCTCTCTGTAAATAAATAAATCTTTTTAAAAAATCAAAGAATAGACCAAGAAGAATGCTGTAGCCTGAACACTCCCTATGTGCTGGACACTGTTCTGAGTGCTTTCATGTTACTTTATTAATCTTCACAAATCCCTAATGGAGGAGGTCTGATTGTCATCCACACTTTCAAAGGGGGGAAACTGTGGATCAGAGAAGCTAAAGGACTTGCCCAAGGTCACACAAACTTGGATTGGAAATCAAACCGCCTGTCCCCCGAGCTCCTAACCACTTCATGTAGCAGCATTTTACTACTGTGACCGAGCATCAATCCTTCTTGCAACTATCACCCAGCAGGATTGGGGGCCATCAGGTCAATTTATTTTGTGACAGCAGATAAAGATGCGACATTAGCTAGCTGTGTTTGACTTAGACCACAGGAGCTATTCTGAGTAGCCACATTTCCTCCAGGAGTAGGTCTGGATAAAAGAGCAAAAGAAAAAACAAAAATTTCCTTTCCTTTTGTCCTCCTCTTTTCTCTAAGTCCCAGAGCCTGATTGGTTAAGTGCCCAGAGGAGTCATGGTGACTCACAACGTTTCTCAGACTTTGTGACCACATGTAATGGCAAGATATGGGCACTGGTTACCACCACCTGGGTGACTTCTAGGTCAGGGCTAAATATGGTGAGTTGGAGAGAGGCACTGGAAGAGGTGGAAGCTGGTACAGATACTTGAGTACCATCTCCAGACCTGCTCCCTGCATGATTGACTGTCTTGTCCCAGACCTCTTCGTGAAATGATGCGAAATCTCTCCATTAGCACTTTCACTGTGGGGTTCACTGAAATGTCCTAACAGTGTTAATTGCATTTCAACAGGTCTACTGGGCAATGGTCAGTGACTCTGACCTTGAGATCCAATCACCCAGTGAAAACTGAAAAGGAACTCAGTCCCAGGTAGGATTCTCCACTCTCCCCCAAACTCTGGATCCAGTTGTGGCTGTGACTCTTAGAGTGCTGCTTTCTTTGTGTACCAGTTCACATAAAGGGCATGGGTAATTGCAGGAATTTCATGAGTAGTCTGATGGCTGTATCATTTTAAAAAATATTTTATTTATTTATTCACGAGACACACACACACACACACAGAGAGACAGAGAGAGAGAGAGAGAGAGGCAGAGACACAGGTAGAGGGAGAAGCAGGCTCCATGCAGGGAGCCCGATGTGGGACTCAATCCTGGGACTCCAGGATCATGCCCTGGGCCCAAGGCAGGGGCTAAATGCTGAGCCACCCAGGGACCCTCTGATGGCTGTATCATTGACATTAAAGTATGACCCACATGGTTGCCATCTAGAGGTAGGATATGGATTTTCACAGGATATTGGAGGACTGATGGGGAGGACGTTTTGTTTGCTATGGCACTACTCTTTTGAGGGACAAAATTGACTATTATGAGATGTGATTTGCCCCCACATTGGCTGCTCCACTCAGTCTCACATAACAACTGAGGACACTGAGGCACAGATGCCTGGAAGATGGCGCCAGTCACACACTCCTTTTCCTGAGTGTCAGGGAATGCTCAGTCATCCAGGTCTCTTCCCATCTCAGATAGAAACATGTAAAACCACAAAGGTACTGTGTTCTGTGATCAAAAGAGATAAACGGGTGAGAATTGTTTCCTTGGCTTTCACGAGGATCAAGCGGAAGCATCCTGAAGGGGTGGAAGGATGGGGCTCTGAAGCCAGACAAGTTGGGTTCATATCCTAGTTGTGTCACATGCTAGCTTATGTGAACTTGGGCCAGTGACATACCATCCCTGCGCCTCAGTTCCCTGCCCTGGATAAATGGGCATGACAGTGGCACCCACCAAAGGTGTGAGAAGTTAAACAAGCTATTGTGTAGGAGACCAGAGAGTGGGTGTCAGCACGTCCTCTCTCCCTCCTGAGTAAAGCTTCTCAAAGCTACAGACAAGGATGGAGAATCTTTCCGGGCTAGGTAAGCTCTCTTACCTTGAACTGCATTTACAGGTTGGTTCCCTGTTCCTTTGATTTGGGGTTTGGCACTTTTCTTCTGAACTCCAGTGCCTTTCCCTTGGAGGAGACAGGCAGAGCAAATGAATGTGGGCCAACCTTCCTGGGTGTTGGCACCTCTCTCTGTCTCAAATTTATGCTTCTGAGGAATCTTGTTTTACTTAAAGAATTTTGCAGAATTCACTTACACATATTTTTGCGTTCTTGTTGGAGAAAATACAAGAATTACATTTATAGAGATCAATTCATAAGCCCTCATTTACTCTGCTCCACCATTTTACACCCATTACACCAGAAGAACCAGCATTAGCAGTTTGCTGTAAACTTTTTAGATCTTTAAAAAAAATTAAATTAAATTAATTAACATATATTATTGGTTTCAGAGGTAGAGGTCAGTAATTCATCAGTTTTATATAATTTCCAGTGCTCATCAAATCACATGCCCTCCTTAATGTTCATCACCCAGTTACCCCCTCCACCGACCCCTTCCCCTCTAGTGACCCTCAGTTTGTTTTCTATGATTAAGAGTCTCTTATGGTTTGCGTCCCTCTCTGATTTCATCTTTTTTATTTTTTCCTCTCTTTCCCTATGATCCTCTGTTTTGTTTCATAAATTCCACATATAAGTGAGATCATATGATAATTATCTTTTTCTGATTGACTTATTTCACTTAGCATAATATTCTCTACTTCCATCCATGTTTCAAATGGCAAGATTTCATTTTTAAGGGCCGAGTAATATTTCATACACACACACACACACACACACACACACACACACCACTTCTTTATCCATTTATCTGTTGATGGACATCTGGGCTCTTTCCATAGTTTGGCTATTGTGGACATTGCTGCTATAAACATTGGGATGCAAGTACCCTTCGGATCACTACATTTGTATTTTTTGGGAAAATATCCAGTAGTGCAATTGCTGGGCTGTGGGGTAGCTCTATTTTCAACTTTTTGAGGAACCTCCTTACAGTTTTCCAGAGTGGCTATATCAGCTTGCATTCTCACCAACAGTATAAAAGTGTTCCCCTTTCTCCGCATCCTCAGCAATATCTGTTGTTTCCTGACATGTTAATTTTAGCCATTCTGACTGTCGTGAGGTAGTTCCATACAAATTTTAGGATTTTTTGGTCCAACTCTGTCAAATACATTGATGGTACTTTGATGGGAATTGCGTTGAGTGTATAGATCACTCTAGGTAACATAGAGATTTTAACAATTTTGGTTTTTTTTAAGACTTTATTTATGAGAGGCAGAGAGAGAGAGAGAGAGAGAGAGAGAGAGAGAGAGGCAGAGACACAGGCAGAGGGAGAAGCAGGCTCCATGCAGCGAGCCTGATGTGGGATTTGATCCTGGGTCTCCAGGATCATGCCGTGGGCTGAAGGCAGTGCTAAACTGCTGAGCCACCGGGATGCCCAACAGTTTTGTTCTTATAAATCCATGAGCATGGAACTTTTTCCTATTTCTTTGTGTCTTCCTCAATTCCTTTCATGAGTGTTCTATAGTTTTCTGAGTACAGAAACTTTGTCTCTTTGGTTAGGTTTACTCCTATCTTAAGGTTTTGGGTGCAATTATAAATGTGTTTGACTCCTTAATTTCTCTTTCTTTTGTCTCATTGTTAGTGTTTTTTTTAAATTTATTTTTATTTATTTATGATAGAGAGAGAGAGAGAGAGAGAGAGAGAGAGAGAGGCAGAGACACAGGCAGAGGGAGAAGCAGGCTCCATGCACCGGGAGCCTGACGTGGGATTCGATCCCGGGTCTCCAGGATCGCGCCCTGGGCCAAAGGCAGGCGCTAAACCGCTGCGCCACCCAGGGATCCCTCATTGTTAGTGTTAATGCAACTGATTTCTGTGCATTGATTTTATATCCTGCAACATTGCTGAATTCCTGTATGAGTTCTAGCACTTTAGGAGTGGAGTATTTTGGATTTTCTATATAAAGTATCATGTCATCTGCAAAGAGTTTGACTTCTTTGCCAATTCAGATGCCTTTTATTTCTTTTTGTTGTCTGATTGCTGAGGCTAGGGCTGTGTTGAACAGCAGTGGTGATAGTGGACATTCCTGCTGTGTTCCTGACCTTAGGGGAAACTCTCAGTTTTTCCCCAGTGAAAATGATATTCGCTGTTGGCTTTTGGTAAATGGCTTTTCTGATACTAACGTATGTTCCCTCTATCCCTACACTATGAAGAGTTTCAATCAAGAAATGATGTGATGCTTTGTCAAATGATTTTTCTGCATCTGTTTCAACTGCATCTGTTGAGAGGATCATGTGATTCTTGTCCTTTCTTTTACTAATGTAGTGTATCACATTGATTTGTGGATGTTGAACTATGCTTGTAGCCCAGGGATAAATCCCACCTGGTCGAGGTGAATAATCCATTTAATGTACTGTTGGATCCTATTAGCTAGTATTTTGGTGAGATTTTTGCATCCATGTTCATCAGGGATATTGGTCTGTAGTTCTTCTTTTTGGTGGGGTCTTTGGTTTGAGGATCAAGGTAATGCTGGCCTCATCGAAAGAGTTTGGAAGTTTTCCTTCCATTTCTGTTTTTTGAAATAGCTTCAGAAGAATAGGTATTAATTCTTCTTTATTTTTTTTTTTATTTTTTTAATTTTTTTTTTTAAATTTTTTTTTTTATTTATTTATGATAGTCACATAGAATGAGAGAGAGAGAGGCAGAGACACAGGCAGAGGGAGAAGCAGGCTCCATGCACCGGGAGCCTGATGTGGGATTCGATCCCGGGTCTCCAGGATCGCGCCCTGGGCCAAAGGCAGGCGCTAAACCGCTGCGCCACCCAGGGATCCCTTAATTCTTCTTTAAATGGTAAAATTCCTCTGGGAAGCCATCTGGCCCTGGGCTTTTGTTTGTTGGGAGATTTTTGATAACTGCTTCAATATCCTTGCTGGTTATGGGTCTGTTCACGTTTTCTCTTTCTTCCTGTTTTAGTTTTGATAGCTTATATGTCTCTAGGAATGCATCCATTTCTTCCAGATTGCCTATTGTTGGCATATAGTTGCTCATAATATGTTCTTTTAATTGTATTTCTTCAATGTTGGTTGTGCTCTCTCCTCTTTCATTCATGATTTTATTTATTTGGGTCTTTTCTCTTTTCTTTTTGATAAGTCTGGTCAGGGGTTTATCAATCTTATTAATTCTTTCAGAGAACCAGTGCTTAGTTTCATTCATCTGTTCTATTGTTCTTTTGTTTTCTATTTCATTGATTTCTGCTCCAATCATTATTTCTCTGTTCCTGCTGAGTTTAGGCTTTATTTGCTGTTCTTTCTCCAGCTCCTTTAGGTGTAAAGTTAGGTTGTGTATCTGAGACCTTTCCTGTTTCTTGAGAAAGCCTTGTAATGCTATAGGCTTCCCCCTTAGGAATGCCTTTGCTGCATCCCAAAGGTTTTGAATAGTTGTGTTTTCATTTTCATTTGTTTCCATGAATTTTTAAAATTCTTCTTTAATTTCCTGGTTGACCTATTAATTCTTTAGGAGGATGCTCTTTAGCCTCCATGTATTTGAGTTCTTCCCAAATTTCCTTTTGTGATTGAGTTCCAGTTTCAAAGCTTTGTGATCCAAAAATATGCAGGGAATGATACCAATTTTTTGGTACTGGTTGAGACCTGATTTGTGACCCGCTATGTGACCTATTCTAGAGAACGTTTCATGAACACTTGAGAAGAATGTGTATTGTGTTTCTTTAGTATGGAATGTTCTGAATATGTCTGTGAAGTCCATCTGGTCCAGTGTCATTCAAAGCCCTTGTTTCCTTGTTGATATTCTGCTTAGATGATCTGTCCATTGAAGTGAGTGGAGTATTAAAGTCCCCTACTATTATTGTATTATTATTGATGTTTCTTTAATTTTGTTATTAATTGGTTTATATAATCAGCTGCTCCCAAGTTAGGAACATAAAT